AGGTTGACTCTCCTGGGTACCACACCTCCTCTCCTCATTGCAAATGGGTTACAGGTTAGCTGATGAGCAGGTGAGCAGGCGCCCTTCCAGATGCTAAGGAGGTAGGTCTTTGGCCAAGCGCCACATTCTCTAAGATAGGGGACAAAATGTGTCCCTCTTTATAAGGCGGGAACATCCCAGTTGCCCTGGCCAGGTAGCTCAGTTGGTTAGAGGGTTGTCCCCATACGTCAAGGCTGAGGGTTCGATCTTGGGTCAGGGCAATACAAGAAGCAACCAGTGAGTGTGTAAATAAGTGGAACAACAAACCAATGTGTCTCTCTCTCTTTTTCAAGTCAATAAATAATTTTTTAAAAGGAAACATCCCAGATATCCAAAAAGATTACCTTAACAAAGGAGATGATGGTATTAGTAATTCTTAATCCCTTTACCCTTTTTCATCCAGCCCCCCCCCCCCCCGCCACTCTTTCTTTCTTAAACGTGATTCATTCATTCAGCAAACCTATTTGAGAACTTATTCTGTGTCAACCTCTCGTGGAGCATACAAACTATTTATTTGCAGTGTCGCAAAGTAATTTTTTAGTCCAACATTGGATGCTTTTGCCTCGCCCCTAGGAAGCTGCTCTACATGTTTTAATTGGTTTGTTCAATGTTTGGCAGAGAACATCTCTAATCCGAGCATGGACATCACTCAGCGTCGTCCTCGGTGCTATCCACAAATAGATGGATATGCTGAGTAACTACAACATATTTTTATTATTATTTTTTAATGTTTTTGTTGATTTTTAGAGAGGGAGAGAGATAGAAGCTTCCATGAGAAACATCATTGATCGGCTGCCTCCTGCACTCCCCCTACTGGAGACTGAGCCCACTATCTGGGCATGTGGCCTGATTAGAAATCAAACCAGTGGCCTCTTGGTTCATGGGTCAATGCTCAACCACTGAGCCACATCGGCCTGCAACTGCAACGTATTTTTAGAAAACAGGGGCTTCCCTAATGCTGAGTCATGCTGCCCCACTGGGAAGTCCTATGCCAACTCCTGAACCATGTCCTTGCCGAGGCTCTTCCTGCAAAATGTACCTCAACCGGGTGAAACATCAGCTTTGCAAGCAGATTGAGCTGACTAGATTACATCCTTGGTGATATCTATAGAGGTATAGATGCCTAATATGCAAAGTGTCCCTTTGGGAGTTTGACTGACAGGGAATTGGGTTGCTTGCTATGATATGTGCTGACCATCAAGGGATGGCGAGGAATGAAGGGAGCCCCTTTGGAATAATAATCCATTATTTAAATACTAATCACCCCCGTCCATCACCCCATCTCGTTTGTGATCACTCCTATTGGGTCAAAAAGGAAGCACACACAACGAAGTCTGTTTTAACCTGAAATAGTTTTGTTGATATTGGAGTTGCGTTCCAGTGGGACATTTGCTGGAAACCACAGAATTCTCCGTCTGGATGATCATAGTACAAATGCCCTTCTCTCCCCTGCCCCGACCCTCCTTCCCCCCCCCAAAAAAAAACAAAACCAAAAACAAAGAAGCAAACAAAACCCCAAACCCACAACTCGGCTTCCAATGAGTTTTAAAGAAATGAGACACTAAATATTTACATGGGGACCGAGAAATAAGTCACAAAACTATTTACAAAAATACACAAGCCATATAGGCAGTTCACAATGTACACGGGTTCACAAAAATATTAAGACATAAAAAAAAAACAACTATATAAATTAAAGTGCAAGAACTCAAACGCAGGGTCTACGGCATCCTAGGATGCTTCTCTCATGCAGGCCATGGTTGAAAAATCAGGTTTTGCTACCTCGGAATCTACACTGTAAGACAACCATTTCAACCTCTGAACACGTTACAGCGTGGATTGGACACGGCAGAGGCCCACACACACAGCGTGTCTTGTGCAGTTAATGCACCATCCCCAACATTTTGGCCACACACAGCGCTGAAACTCACATGCCTCTCACCACCGGCAGTAACCTCCTGCCATACTCTTGCTATCATTGCACACTCCATTCAGACAACGCTTTGCCCATACTGGATGGATGGGTGGGTGCTGGGCCAGGCAGGGGACAGACACAAGGCCTAGGCAGGCTCCTGTCAGCAGAAGGGGCGGATTCCAAACCCACATTCTGTGCATCGACTGCCGCCTTACATGTGCGAACCGCCTCTCCACCCCCTCCACATCCTGTACAGGTGAGTCCTGGAATTTTCAACCTGGCCCTGTGTTCTAAAAATGCTCTCTTGTCATTATAAATATGTGCAGTCCTCCCCGGGGGGCCATCCAGGGGTTGCATTTAAAAAAAAACACAAAACGAAGACAGTAAGCGATAAGGCTCAGATGAAATTTGGTGACAGGAGAATGGCACCTCTGGGACCATAATTTATATAGTTAGCAACGACTCTGGCCGAGACACCCCGGGGAATGCTGATTCTGACCAAACCACGTACGGTGGCAACAGGATCTGGCCAAAGAGAAAACCTGGGGACGGGATTATGGAAATACCAATAGAAATAGGGGTTAGATTATGGAAATACCAATAGAAATAGGGGTTAGATTATGGAAATACCAATAGAAATAGGGGTTGGATTGTGGAAATACCGATAGAAATAGGGGTTGGATTGTGGAAATACCGATAGAAATAGGGGTTGGATTGTGGAAATACCAATAGAAATAGGGGTTAGATTATGGAAATACCAATAGAAATAGGGGTTGGATTGTGGAAATACCGATAGAAATAGGGGTTGGATTGTGGAAATACCAATAGAAATAGGGGTTGGATGCATAAGGCAGCTCCATTTCCTTGGTTGGCATGTTCCACGCCACTGCGGGAAAGGAACGATCCTTCATCGCGCTCTCTGGGAAGTCGCACAGGCGGACTGTGCTCAGGTAACCTGGCTCACAGTGATATGCCATCCGATTTCTACCCGATGGCCTTGGAAAGGGGAAGACGCGGGCAAAGTCCCTTAAGTAACAAACTGAAGTTAAGGCTGTTTCTACACACACCAAGTGCAACAATGCTGGACTGGACCTAGAGTTGGCATTGCACACCCATACGGGTAAAATGAGTCATTTCTCTCTGATCAAAATATTTACGTGATATGTTTGAGCCCATAGGACAGGAGTAAAAGAACTGCTTTGAGGAACTGGCCGTCGCGTTTAGGAAAGACTTCGGTCTCAGGAGTCTATGCGTGTGACCGCAAATCCACGAGGATGAAGACTGGAGAGGAGTGGGGAAGGGGGAGCCCTTCTGGACTCACATCCTTCTAAATCCTTTTTCTTTATACTAAAAATAATATATATCTCTATATATATTGCTTTGGGAGAACAAATGGTATGAAATGTTTTACCAGGATGACACTTTACCAAATATTGAGGGGGGCGGGGGGTGGGAACACCTGTCATTAAAGCCACCTATGTCCTCATCACAGCAGCTCTCTCCGACGGCCATGCTGCCAGGGAGAACTCAGGGCCCTGTGACCACAAAGGGCAATGGGCTGCCTACTTGATAAAAAGGTGGTTAAAGTAAAAAATAAAATAAAATCAGCGCCATCTATTCATCAAAGACCAAACTCCTGGGTACTGAGCGGGAGCCCGCCAGGCTGCCTAACTCAGACTCTGGGACAGCAAGGGAATCTGTATCTTTAAGGGGCCTCAGGGTTTCTTCTATCAGGATCCTGACGGAATCCCTCTGATCAATTTGGGGGCGGGGGAGAACACTGGAAAACCTTACCAAGTACTTTCACATATAAGTAAAGTGTGTTCTTCTTAAAACTTTATTTCTTTTCCTAAATATAAACCCTTAAAATGCACTCACACGTTTTTTTTTGTTTGTTTTTATTAAATAAAAAAGGAACTGGCATGACTCCTAATCTTTATACAAATTCACAGCAATAATAGCAGCATAAATTTAGCCTCTTAAAAGATTTCTTCCTTTGCTCTAAATACAATTCCAAGTTTTTTCTTAAAAAAAGCCAGAGCAGCGACCATCCAGTGAATGGAATGAAAGCCCCCAGGTGTGAATGTATAAAAATCAAGTGTCCCCTAAGAGTCCTGGAATGAAATGACAATCGAAAAACGCGTCCTTGGGAAGGCTCGCACGCTGGGGGTGAGCTGAGAAAATGGAATCGCGTTGGGCTGGAAGGTGCCCCGTCCAACGCGAATCAGGAATGCGGGCAACTTTCAAAAGAAAGTTCTGGGAGAGGGGCATGTGTGACATGCCCACGGAGTTATCAGAATGGGACCGGAAATGCTGGTGTCGATGGCAGTTACAGTAGACTGTGACAGCGGAGGGAGTGAGCAGACAGTGCGCCATTCCTCAGGGCAGACACGTCACTGCCCGGAATGGGAATGCCCACGGTGCCACGGGGCTGGGCACTACCCAGCTATTGCAGGTTTGGGAACAGGGACTACGGAGCTACTTTAAGAACTCCCGGGAAACCTGCGGTCCGGTTGAGAAACAGAAAATGAACGTGTAGATTTGCCATCGTGATCAATTACGTGTCTAGCTAGTCAAACCATGCTGGGGGCTGTTTTTATTTTTAATGGGGAAAAAGTTGCTTTAGGGAAACAAACGGTGTGAAATGTTCTTTGCTAGGGTTACAAGTCAACTAACGCTCGTTAAGAGAAAGGGAAACTGAAGGCAGAGGGCCCACTGGAAGCAGGGATAGGGCTCTCTGGTGCTACCAGTGGCCACCCTGGCGCCACCTGGGAATGTCTGCTTCTGCCTTTGACCTTCTCTTCCCCGGGGACCTGAGCCTGATGGAGATCTGAGCCTGATGGGGATCTGAGCCTGTTCTCGGAGCCGAGACACACCTGTGAGAAATAAGGATGGGCAGGACATGGGGCAGCGTGGGCCGACACGGTGTGACTATGATGACTCTTCACTAAATGCTTAGTCTGACTTCCTGTATGTTTTAGTCAGATTCTACTAAAGGTTCCACTGACTTAGCGGAAGGATGGGGGGTGGGGGTGGGGAGTTCTTAGTTGGAATTTAACGTGAAACGGGGAGAATGACGTGGGAACGGAGTGCCAGCCTGAGCCGGCGACACGGGCCCGGGACACACATCGGCAGGAATGCAAAAGGAAACGATGGCAACTGCTCTGAGATGCACAGCCGGCACTAGGAAGGACAAAGCCATGTCCAAACGCAGGCAGTCCTCGGGCTGGGCTCTCACGGATTCGCACTACCGGGTGGCGACGGGCTCCCTACCAGGTTGTCAACACCCTGTGCTTGACAGCCACTCGGATCTCATCTAGTGACAAAGCAATGAGTCCTTAGAGGCGGAAATGAAACAGGAAGGGGAGATTTCTCTTAACTATGTTTTGTTTCTGAATGTGGTTGTGGGGAGTGGGGGGGGGGTAGCTTTTTTTTTTTTTTTTTTTTTTTAATCTTTTTGGTTACTGAAAAAAAAAAAAAAAAAAAATAGAACAGTCCACTGTCCAGCAGAGGCTGCTTCAACTCTATTGCTCTCTCGGGGGCTCATTCCGCATGGACCTGGGTTTCAGGGTGCTGCTGCAGGGCCAGCTCCGCGGGCAGGAAGGCGCCCTGCCCCAGCGCGGTGGCGTAGGTCCTGCTCTGCGGGTGGGCGAAGCTGGGGGGCAGGTAGGCCCCCACGGCTCCCCCCGCGAAGCCCCCTCGCTGGAGCTGGGGCGGCGAGTGGTAGCCCTCCAGGTTGTCGTACTGGGACACGGTGGCCAGGCTGCCCTGGCGCCGGCCGTGGGCCGGGTACTGGCACAGCGCCCCGGGGTCCCGCTGCTCCCCGCTCTGGGTGTGATGGAGCTTCAGGCTGTGGCTCCGCTCGGGCTTCGGGGGCGGGACCGACGCCTGGCCGAGCTGCGGCTCGTCCTCCGTATAGCAGTCTCGGGGCTGCCTGGCCCGAGGAGGCCTCTCCAGCTCTTTGCAGAGCCTCGCCGCCTCCTTGTGGTTCAGCCGCAGAGACTCGGGGCCCAGGGTCATGTACTTCCCTGCAGAGTTGTGGTGGTAGCTGGCGGGCTCGCAGGCGTCCGGGCTCCCTTTGGACCCGTAATCCAAGAGGCCGGCCCCCTGAGGGTGCGGGGGCCCATTTCTCGGCTCGCATGGGTGCCTATGGCTTGCTTCCTGGGGTGCCCTGTGCTCGGGGAGGCCGCTGCCGCCGCCGCAGCCAGTGTCGTGCAGCTTGCGGTTCCTGAGGCTGCTCTGCTTCTGCGGGAGGGACGGTTTCTCTGGCTGCCCGTTGCCGTGCCCATGCCCGCCGTGCCCATGCCCGTGGTGATGGGCCCTGTCCAGCTCGGCCTCCGGGTGTTTGCGGTAGAAGGGGTCTCCGCCCTCGGGGCTGAGGGCCTTCCCGGGGGGCCGGGGGGCCTCCTTGCCCTCGGCCACGGAGAGGAGTCCAGTTTTCCCAGGATCGGATTTGCTGCGCAGGTGGATGACATAGATGCCGCCGCCCAGCTCCTCCTGCAGGGCGCCCGGGGGGCCCATCATGTTGTCGTACTGGGACATGACGGGCCCCTTGACCTTCTGCCGGGCCCGGCTCTCCCTGCGGATGGACTGCAGGCGGTACTTCTCCATGTCCTCCAGGTCCCACGAGGTGTAGGCGTGCTTCCCCTCGCCGGCCGGGGACACGCCCACAAGGCCGTGGTCATTCCCGGGGAAGTAGCCGGCCAGGGCGGCCCGGGGCCGGGGCGGCGGGAGCCCGGCGGCGTACCCGTACCCGTACAGGCCCTTGCCCTGCAGCCGGGGGTTGTGGAAGGCGAGGTCACGGCCGGGCAGGCGGTGGTGGTGGTGGTGCAGGGGCCGCAGCTGCACGGTGCCGTAGGCATCCAAGTCGCACAGGGCGCCGCTGCCGCCGCTGCCGCCATCGGGGCCGCCGTAGTAGGCGGCGGCGGCGGAGGAGGCGGCGGAGCAGCCGGAGGAGTAGGGGCTGTAGCGGTAGTGCACCCGGCCGTTCTCGAAGTAAGGTTGTAGCTGCGTGACGTGGTAGTCGGAGGAGCGGGCCTGCGACGCCGGGTATGGCTTGTACGGGTACAGGGGCCGCGGGCAGTAGGCCGCCGGCTCGTCGTCGTCGGGGGGCACCTCCGTGCGGGAGATGGGCACGGAGCGGATCACGGCGGCGGCCGGCGGGGTGTGCAGGGACTGCACCCTCCGGATGGTGGGGTACACGGAGGAGATGTCTTCCGGGTAGCAGCCGCCCCGGACGGAGGAGCTCAGGGAGGACACGTACTCGACCCGGCCGCACGGTGGCTTGGAGGGGGGTCCCGAGGAGGACGCCGCCGCCGTGCTCCTCCCCGGGGCCACGTAGGTGTTGTAACGGGGGCCGCCCAGGGAGGCGGGAGGCTCGGACCGGACGCCGTAGGCGGCGGCGGCGGCGACTACGGCGTGGGGCGGCTCCAGGCCGCTGTGATGGGGGGGCACGCTCTGAGGTCGGTACTGGTGGCAGTTTGCGGGGGTCATGTTGAAATGTACACAGTTTTCTGGACCGAAGGGCTCGGGGGCGATGACATCGGGCCTCGTGAAGGCGGAGTAAGGGGCTTTCGGAGGCGCCGCGTGCTTCGGCTGCGGGACGGGGAGCGGCAGAGGCAGGACATCATCCCCGAAGGGGTGGTACCCGGCACCGCTGGCTGCCTCCACGCCGCCGCTGCAGTGGATGGAGGCGGCGGCCACTTTGCTCTCCATCGTCCGGGCGGGGGGCACGGGGGCCGGAAAGCCGCAGGCGGCGTGCACGGGGGCGGACTCCGCGCGCAGATGCAGAGGGGGTGCGCGGGGGCCTTCCCGCAGCTTCTCGGGGAGGCCTGGCTGGGCAGCAGGACACGCGGTGGGGGCCGAGGCGGGGCACGGAGTGGCAGCCCCACAGCCGTCCCCCGCGAGGCCGGGGGCAGGATCCTCTGCAGAGGCCCTGGGTTCCGGGGGCCTCTCCGGAGTGGGAACGACTCCTGGGACCTACGGAGAAATGAGGACAAGCGTGAATGTGTCTTCCGTGCTCCCCTCGGGGGAGTCAGCACCATCACAGGGATGACTCACAAGCTGAGGCTGGGCGGGCAGCAGCCTGGAATTCCCCTTCCAGAACCACAGGCACCCTGTCCCCACAGCAGGGACATGGCCTGCGGGGCCACCTGACAGGGCAGCCACCTTCATCGTGAGGTCTGCTCTAGCTGCTGATGGGTTTGAGATGGGAGAGGAGGTTTCCTATGACAGTCTTAACGTGCAGACCAAAACAGAGGTTTAATCAAGTAATAGTCACGCTTCAAAATCTATGCCGGGCCGAAACCGGTGTGGCTCAGTGGATAGAGCGTCAGCCTGCAGGCTGAAAAGTCCCAGGTTCAATTCCGGTCAAGGGCAGGTACCTTGGTTGGGGGCACATCCCCAGTAGGGGGTGTGCAATAGGCAGCTGATCGATGATTCTCTCTCATCGATGTTTCCAGCTCTCTATCCCTCTCTCTTCCTCTCTGTAAAAAATCAATAAGATATATTAAAAAAAAAAAAAAAAATCTATGCCGACTCTCTGTCCAGCTCAGGCTCGCCAGCAGCGGGAACAATTTGCTAAAAAGAGAGAGGGGTTCTCTCTGGAGAGATGTTTGAAGTGAGTTGTAAGCCCCAAGGGGCACTAAACTCTGGGGTGGCCGCAGAAGCTGAGGCTGCCAATACCCCAGCTTGAGGTGCAGCTGTAGAGAGAGCATCCTTCCCCTGCAGAAGACTAGACAATACTTCAAGGTGACCACAGAACACCTCGAGCATTTTTTTTTTCCCTAGGAAGAAACCTTAGCATTTTGCGTACAACATTGTCTCATCAAGACTGGTGCTCGCTGGGCTGCAGAGCCTGCTGCTTCGCGTTGAAAAAATGAGCTCACACTTCTAGGAAGTCTGCAAGGCAGAACGCCTGACACACGTCCTGAGACTAAAGCGCCCGTATCGGGCACACGGGAAGAACAGGCGGGCGAGGCTCAGTGATTTCAGTGACTTGCCCGAGGTCACCATGAGTCAGTGCCGGTGCCGGGAGAACCACCGTGGCCCAGATACCCGGAGCCCCGTCTGACTCACTATCACCCCTGGTATCGCTCTGAGGAAACTACCCAGAGGCTGGCTGGCGGGAGGCAGGAGCGGGCAGACGCGGTTAGGCCAAGGCCATTGTGTAACTGCCCCTCCTTCCTGAGAAAAACCGGCGTCGAGGAAAAGGCAGATCCCAACCTCCAAGGGGAAATGCTTCGTGAATACCTGCCTGAGGACTGGAAAATAGATACAGTGCCCGACTCCGAGGTAACACACCCTGCTGAAAAGTGACAGACCTTTGCAAAAAGTGCCTTTCCTTTCCTTGACTCCCCCGCCCACCTCCCCCCCCCCTTCTTACCTTGTGGGAATTATTGAATCCTACGCAGGCGCCTGCTGGCCCCTGCCCCGGGGCTGGTAACGGCTCTGCCGGTCTCTGGGACGGAGGAGCGGGAAGAGGGCGGTGGGTTCTGTGCGGACGCTGAAGGGTGGCAGCAGCGGCAAAATCGGAGGCGGCGGCAGGCTGCTCCGCCGGCTCCCAGCTGGCTTCCCAGGCGCCGGTGTCAGCCGCAGCAGCGGCTGCGTAAGCCAGGCTGGCTGTACCCACAGGCTCCTCGGGGGACCCGGCAGGAGGGTAGGGTCTGTCTCGAGAGGGTGTGGGAGATTTGTCAGTCAGTGGTGAGGCGTGATGGGGCTGATCCACGCTTGCCCCGAAATAAGAAGGCGGCTGATCATCGCTGTAGAAGTGAACTTGAGTCTGGTCCTCGTCCGCAAAGGAGACGGTGGGCCCCGTGGTCTTCCCAGGCTGGTCGTCCTGGAAACCGATGATATGCTCGTCAGACTTGGAGTCTCTTAAGGGAGCTGCAGTGGCGCTGGCCTGTCCCGGGCCACCCGACGTGCAGGCCGGATGGGGCTGCTGCCCGGGCTCGGGGGCGCTGGGGCGGGCTTGGTCCCGGGTGGCGGCGGCGGCGGCCGTGTCGGGCAGGAGCTGCTGGCAGCTCCCGGGTGCGTGGCTCGGGAGGAGAAAGTGCTCTGCGGGCCCGTCGGCTGGCACAGGGGTCTTGTCCAGGGCCACATGAGGGCGGTAAATAGGCAGGCTCTCTTCGGCGGTGGCAGCCACCGCCACGTCTCCGTAGCTCGCAGGCTGGCAAGCGCCGGGCCTCTTCAGCGGCTGGGTGGAGGAGGCTTGCTGTGCGGACTCGGCTAGTGCCAGCGCCAGCAGGCGGGCGACGTTTTTCGGAGGCGGTGGCGGTGGGATAAGAGACACTGAACTGACGGGAATGGCCTCCTGAGGGGGGTCATGGGTAGCTGCTCCTGGTGGGGAAACTGGGAGAAAAAAATGAGAGTGAAAAGGCAGCTGTGTTATCCCAGATATGGAAAGCCAGCACTCCCCGCTTGATCCCTAAAAAAAATAATAAAAATAAAAATAGGTGCCTTCCGCATTCCACGGTCTTCCGTCCCACATGCAACATCTGCCGCAGAAACATCTGTTCGGAGGAAAACTAACACCGAGAATGGGGGAGGCCTGCCCCTCCTGAGTCCCCCACGTGGCTCAGGCAAGATGGCTTATCACACAAGCTCCGCGTGCTTGCCGATGGCTTAGGATGGTTTTGCCGGTGGAGGCTGGCTGGTGAACACGGAAGGCTAACCGACAGGCATTTTTACCAGAAGAGGAAACAGAATCAAGAGCTAGGAAGTCGTGCAAAAAAAAAAAAAATCCAGGGATTCCGACTGTCCAAAGAGGCCCGTGGACTCTGTGGAGTCGGACGCGGGACCAGCGGCCCTTCTGGGGTTTTGTGTGATTTTTTAGCGTTAAGGCTTGGAGCACTGGGCACCGCCCGGAGCCACAATCTCTTGGACTAAAAGGGCAGGTGCGAAGTGGAACTCTCCCTTACAAGGCACAAGGTGGTGCACGGACATGAAGATCCTGCTTGGCTTAAGGAAAGAGTGGAGGGAAGCACACGGTACCTGTCGGAGCCTGTCCAGAAGGGAGAGCCTTACTCTGACCGTCGGACACGCACGGCTCCTCCTCTTTCTCCTTCGCCGGCACCTCTGCCTCCGTGGCCACCGCTGCCGCCGCCGCCTGGCCTGGGGGCTGGACTCCGGGCTCGCAGCACCCGTCCAGGGCCTCCCTCTCGTCTGCCTTCGTCTTTCCTACCCGGGGAGGGGACCTAGTTCCCACTCCGACGGCGCTTTCGTCGGTACCCGTGTGCCAGGCGGGAGGGGATCGTGTCTGGGCTGCCGTGGCGGAGGCAGTGGTGGAGGCTGTGGCAGAGGCCACGCTGATGACCTCGGACACCCGAGGAGGAAGGGTCACGGAGATGGGCTCAGATATGTTCATGGAAGGGGATTTGCCTAACTTGCGTCCGATGTTGGGCGAGAAGGCGTAGACGACCTTCTCGGTGAAGGAGGACGGCTTGGCCGACTTCTCCTCGCCCGGGCTCAGGTCCAGGGTGAAGAAGGGGCTCGGCGTGTCCGGCAGAGGCGACACGGGCTCGGAGCTGGCAGTGCTGCCCGGCGTCTGGGCCCGGCTGCCGCCAGCGTCCGGATCCTTCTTATTGGGGCTCGGTCTGTCCTTGGGGTGTCCCGTGGGGGAGTCCGAGAAGGCAGCGGCGCCGCCCTCGGGGCCCTCGGCCTCGGCCCTCGGGGGGCTGCACTGGAAGGACATGGGGTCGAAGTCCAGGCTGGCCACGCCCATGTCCGGCGGGCTCAGGTCCACGTCCTCGGCGGACGGGGGCGACACCAGGGCGGGGATGTGGAGCAGGCCCAGGTCCTCCTCGCTCTCGTTGTCGTGGGGCAGGTTGTCGTAGGAGTTGCACCGGTTCCCCAGCATGTCCCCGTTGAAGGAGGCGCTCAGGGCGTCGCTGCTGGACCGCGGCCTCCGGGGCCGGAACAGCTTGGGGTCACCTGGCGGACAGACAACACGCTCTCAGTGTGCACGTCACAGGGGCACCCCCACCGGTCACCTAGCAGGGGACACACGAGGGAGAGGGCACTTCTCCTTTCTTTCTTCCTTTTTTTTTTTTTTTTTTTTTTTTTTTTTTTTAATATTTTATTGATTTTTTTACAGGGAGGAAAGGAGAGGAATAGAGAGCTAGAAACATCGATGAGGGAGAAACATCAATCAGCTGCCTCCTGCACACTCCCAACCGGGGATGTGCCTGCAACCAAGGTACATGCCCTTGACCGGAATCGAACCTGGGACCCTTCAGTCCACAGGCCGATGCTCTATCCACTGAGCTAAAACGGTTAGGGCCACTTCTCCTTTCTTTCTTTCTTTTTTCTTTTTTTTTATTTATTTTATTGATTTTTTACAGAGAGGGACAGGGATATAGAGTTAGAAACATCGATGAGAGAAAAACATTGACCAGCTGCCTCCTGCACACCCCCAACTGGGGATGTGCCCGCAACCAAGGTACATGCCCTTGACCGGAATCGAACCTAGGACCCTTCAGTCCGCAGGCCGGTGCTCTATCCACTGAGCCAAACCGGTTTTGGCCACTTCTCCTTTCTTACAGGTCTCTTGGGGCTCCCAGACGGGGCTCCCAACCCAAATGCTCAACAGGCACCTCTGACTGACGTGATGGGAGGGAGAAGGCAGCAGGTGTCCGTTTCCATCAGAAAAGGACTCGGAGGCGCCAGGTTCTACCCCTCGCCCAGCACTGACTTTTCGGCAAGTTTTTTAAATTTCTTTTTGTCTTATTTTATCACTGACCTCACACATGACTTGTGAGACAAAATCAATCCCTTTATTTTTATTATTTATTTTTAAAACATTTTATGGGTTTCGAAGAGGAAGGGAGAGATAGAAACGTTAATGGTGAGTTGATGGGCTGCCTCCTGCACGCCCCCTACTGGGAGATCAAGCCTGAAACCTGGGCATGTAGCCCTGACAGGGAATCGAACTGTGACCTCGTGGTTCCTAGGTCAATGTTCAACCACTGAGCCACACCAGCCGGGAGGAATCATTCACTTTAAATAGTGCTTTGGATATACAGCAACAGAAGAGGTTTTTGTTTTGTTTTTAGTGGGGAAAATCTTCATAACCTTCAAATTTCTCAGTTTAAAAAAATCCCTACAATTCTATAAAGTATTAGCATCTGTTTAGTAAGAATTTCGTTTCAGATACTTAAACAAAAATAATTCCCTTCCTCCCGCCCCCACCCCTTCCCGCCCCCCCACCCCCACCCCTTCAGAGCAGGCTCTACGTCTCTCAGGCAGGCAGTCCTCAATGCCAAATGCTTTGCCAAGCACCCTCACTGGGCATTAATACATATAAATGGTTAACTTAAACCAATTCGCCCATTCTTATGCAAATTGAATAGCAATTATATCAAAAGTGAAGAAATTAGAGACTGGTACTATATTAAAACATCAATGGAAAACACTAGATAGATGCTAGTATTCTTAAGAAGTGAGGCTCTGTGGCCTCTTTGTTAAGCATGTGTTTATAAAACATACTTGCTCGTTACGTTCTTTTCTGAAATACAGAATAAAACGACTGGTGCGTTTCCTCTTACCATCGACTGCATGGAGAGAAGTCAGAGACTCTTCGCTCTTAGCGGATCGGAGGGTTCCCTCGGCCCTGCCACCTTCAGAATCAAAACCAAACAAGGCGAGTGTTAGTCTTTGTGACGGTGAAAGGGAGCAGTGTTTTTCTCTACAACATACTTACACTTCCCAGAGGGGTCAGTGTACATTTTGACAACCATACTCAAGTCAGCATCATGCTACCTAAAGTACTGTTGTTCTCAAGTGGTTGCCTTTAGGGGAAAAAAAATCCCTTTTCTAAAGAATTACAAACTCGAGCTTAGAGATGCATTTAAAAACATCCTCCTTTTATAGTTCCTAAAGAGGAGTGTGAAGAGTGATGCCATACTGGATTGAGGCTAGGTCCTAAACCCAATGACTGGTGTGGCGTCCCTTTAAGAAGAGCAGACACAGGTGGACAGAGGCAAGTGCCCTCTGAAGATGCGGCGGAGACTGGAGGGATGCCACCACAAGCCAAGGGATGCCGAGTGACACCGGAAGCTGGAAGAGGCAAGGCAGGGTTCACACCTAGACAAGGCCCTGCTGACACCGTGACCTTGGACTATAGCCTCCAGTAGACAGCATATCCTATCGGAGCGAGTCGAGTACAGGTTCAGAGAAAGAAGAGACGCCACAGCAGCAGGAGGAGGTGACCCCTCAGCGGGCCAGCTGCCCTGGGCCAACACAGGACAGGGCCGGGCACTGACCTTTCAGAGCCATGGCCTTCATCTCCGAGGGCTCACTCTCATTGCGCTGCAGCTTCCGCTTGGAAACGGACGACGACTTCCCCAGGTTGAAAAAGGAGCGCCAGCTGCCCACGGGGGACTTTTTCATTTTGTTCTGAGGCCTCCTCCTGCGAGAGGGAAACACTTTCGTACTGAGATATCCAAGGGGGCTCTCTTTACTCGGAGAAAATGAACAAGTGACGGGAAGGAGCAGAGCCAGAGAGCACAGCTGAACACGCACCCACGGTCACACGCACACGCTCTGAGCGGGCAGCTGTGCGGGGCAGCTGAGCGTGGAATGGGAGCTGACTGCGTGGCTTTCCATACTTAGCCATTAGGGTCACAAGGGAGTTCTCACACAGACTGCCACACTTAGCACTACCCTCGCAATCCGGGAAATAAGCAAGAGGAAGACGTATCTGGGAATAGGAAATAATAAAACTCCAGAACTGGAGCTAAGGAAAGTGATCTTAGGTCTGAGTAAAGTGAGGGAAGTCAAAAAACGAAGAAAAGGAGTAAGAACAGTAACTGGCATCTATGGAATGCCGGGCACTGCGCTAACTGCCTCCATGGTCATATCCCACTTAAATGAGATACAAGCATATGAGGCAGTTGCTACATTCTCCTTTCACACCTAAGGAAGTTACCACACTGAGCCACTCAGTGAGCCGCCTTAATGGTATAAAGCTAGTCAAAGACCTGTATCATTTTTCCTAACAATTTTCCCCGTACAATGGACTCTCTCTCTCTCTTTTTTTTTTTTTTTTTAAGACGACGAGGTGTTGCCATGCTTCTCGAGAAACACGCCTCTCAGTCCCTAGGACCGTGGTTGGCAAACCGCGGCTCGCGAGCCACATGTGGCTCTTTGGCCCCCTGAGTGTGGCTCTTCCACAAAATACCACGGCCTGGGCAAGTCTATGTTGAAGAAGTGGCATTAGAAGAAGTTTAAGTTTAAAAAATGTGGCTCTCCAAAGAAATTTCAATTGTTGTACTGTTGCTATTTAGCTCTGTTGACTAATGAGTTTGCCAACCATTGGGCTAGGAAGTCTCACTCACAGCCAGAAGAGCACGGGAATGATTGCCTGGGATGGCCCGGAACCAATGCAAAAATAGAGAGACAGGAGAATACAAAGGCAAAGGTAAAACTGGGAGCACACACACCATGAAATCACAGGTACGAGGACTTAATGAGCGCTACCTTTCCAGCGGGAAATCGATGATGGTGTGAAACTTCCCCTGCAGCGCGGCAGGTCCTTCTCCGACTTCAATGTATTTGTTTTCCGTCACGAGCGGAGAACTGATCTGAGCTTGGGTTCTGGCCTGGGCTTCCTCCAATGTCAGCAGCTTGGTGGATGGCGAGGAAATGAGCAGGGACTTGGGCCTGGAGAGAGAAGCTTTGGAAAAAAGAACAAGAGAGTCAAACGTTTCTGCCTGGGGGGGAAGTGTAAATGAGTGTGTGTGTGTGTATCTCAATCTGCTTATCTATCTATCCATCTATTATACCTACCTACCTGTCTTGTTTCATATCTTCTTCATTCCGTTTTTTAAATGGCAAAAATAATAGGGCTTTATACTAAGTGAGGAATAGAAGGTGACATTCCAGATTGTTAGCAATCACACACACACACACACACACACACACACCCACACTTAGAATTGTTAAGTAATGTAACTATTTTCCTTTCTTAAGGCCTTGCCTGGTATCACCCAGTACTTTTAGTTATGGAAAGAATTTTTCTGCTGCTGCTCCATCTTACACCTTCACATCCACCAATAATAAGTAACAGGGCATATTTTTTAATGTATCCTGAACGTAACTCACAAAAGGTCTAATATGTAGCATTAACAAAATAACTGGTAAATTGTGCATTTTGGGGAAATAGCCATAAATTAGCTGCTTTCTGAGAAAGACAGAATCATGAAACTGAGATTTTAAAAAATGCAGGTTTTTCCCTAGCTGGTTTGGCTCAGCCGATAGGTCAGCCTGGGAACTGAAGGGTCCCGGGTTGTGGGCTCAATTCCCAGTAGGGGGCATGCAGGAGGCAGCCTATCCATGATTCTCTCTCATCATTGATGTTTCTCTCTCTCTCCCTTTCCCTTCCTCTCTGAAATGAATAAAAATATATATTAAAAAAAGAAATGCCGTTTCCATGGTTCTAGAAGTGGAGGTGCACATTTCTGCCAGGAACCCACTCTGGCCGAGCCGCACCTGCCCCTTCCTGGATGACCTCGCTGATCTTCCCGCTGAAGAGGACGTCCACGTGGTTGAGGATGAACTCGACGACCACAGACTGGATCCTCACTTCCATGAAGGCCGCTGTGCCGCTGAAGCAGGCCGACTCGATCTGTTTAGATCTGTGGGGCGGATAAGATTGCCATCAGCATCAGAGATAGCCGCCTTAACGGGCATTATTTTAAACATGCAAATCCTTTTTTAAAAAAAATTTTTATTGACTAAGGCATTACACATGTGTCTTTATCCATCCTTGTACTCCCCGACTCAAGCCCTCACCCCCGGGTGTCTGTGTCCATTGGTTCTGCTTATACTAGTTAGTAGGCATGTGTACAAGTCCTTTGGTAAACCCCACAACAACCAGAGGAAGAAAAATGCTTTCCCTGGTCTCGGCTAAGTGCCACTGGCCTGTTTTGGGGAGATGCATATGAAAAAAACAGACCAGTTTTACTTGAACAGGAAAACTGAGGAATTGGACTTAAGGAACACTGATGAACTAGACTCTCCAAGACGACTGGATCTACTTAAGGCCAAATGTCAAATGCAACTTACCTGAGCAGGTTTGGAGCCCAGACAATTGCCAGGTTTTTTGCATGCATATTTGTGATGGAACAATAGTCAGCTAGAAGTGACAAGTGTCTCATGAGGAACTCCAGTGTCCTAGAAAACGAACCACCACACATTAGCAACAACGATAAAACCCATCATGGAGCAATATAGAGCATAAAAGCTCTACGAACTCGTAAGTTTCAATGACGAAAATGGAAAAAGAACCATACAAACTCCAGCAAATTGTGTGCTGCTCACTAGGTTTAAACATTATTACCACAGAACTAACTGTCAGAAGATGAGTATGAATTTTATACCTAGGTATAATAGCCACATCTACAGAATACTGAAGAAAACGTCTAAGGCAAGAAACAAGCTTCTGACAGGACTGGCTCTGAGGAAACAGCCTGAGTTTTTTTTTTTTAAAAAAAACCCTTTAGGAGTATTTACTCCTGAACCCGCCCCTCCAGCTTCTAGACAAACAATTCCGTGAAGTTATGCTGCTCTAGTTGTAGCAGACACACTCTGTGTGGCTTAGACACATTTTGAACTCCAGGGTGGCTCAGTGGATGTGTTCACCTATGAGCCAGGAGGTCTTGGTTTGATTCCCGGTCATGGCACATGCCCAGGTTGTGGACTGTTTTTATCTCTTTCTCCCTCCCTTTTCTCCCTGAAGTCAATAAAAACATTTTATATATATATATATATATATATATATATATATATATATATATCTGGTCAAGGTCATTTACCTTAGTTTCGGGCACATCCCCAGTGGAGAGTATGCAGGAGGCAGCTGATAAGATGTTTCTCTCATCAATGTTTCTAACTCTCTATCCCTCTTCCTGCCCCTTTGTGAAAAATCAATACAATATATCTTTAAAATTTTTCTAAAATAAGGAGGGCTACAAAAAGGAAACCAGCAAACAGACACCCAGCAGTGAGTCCATATTTTGGATTCAAGCAATTCACAAGTCTTCACACTTGTGGACAGACATCCAGTACCTTCAGCAGTATTTCTCAGTATCGCAAAACAAACACACAAAGGAATAGGTTTAGTCAACCATCCATTTGCTCACTCATGCATTCATTTATCCAACATTTATTAAAGCCTATTGCATGCCAAGCACTGTGCCAGGCCCTGGGATACAGATAAATAAATATGAACGTATGGACAAATTGCGTGGCTCAGTGTTTGAGCTTTGATCTGTGAACCAGGAGGTCACAGTCAGGGCACATGCCTGTGTTGCAGGCTCAATCCCTCGTGGGGTGTGCAAGAGCAGGCAATCAATGGTTTACTCTCATCATGCATGTTTCTCTCTCTTTCTCCCTATCTCTTCCTCTCTGAAATCAATCAATCAATCAATCAATCAATCAATCAATAAATAGTTGCAAGTCCAAGAAAAATCAACCAGTCAGAAGCCCGTAGGATGAAAACACGTGGCTGGAATTCTGCGTGGGGTTTACCTGTAGTGTGGTGGGGGCAGCTGCTGGATGACGTCATGAATCTTGATCAGCCTTTCTTCATCTGTCGCTGCTGAGACAGCATCCTGCAACCATCGTAATGCAACATCAACCAGGGGACTTTGTTGGCAAAAATCAAAGTTCTTCCCTTTACAATTTAGCTTTCTTCATGCTCAGATAAATCATTCTATCTACTCTTTGGCGCTGAGTGATGAGGAAACATCATGTGTAGCATCAAGGAAGTAAACTTCCCCCCAACAGGTGTTCATTGAAATCTATTAAAAGACTAATTTTTTAAAAAAAACTTTATGGTCACCAACATTAAGTGTGATAAGAGAGTTAGTGGTTCAACGTCAGAAACTAAAAGAATGACCATGTGAAATCAGCCAAAACTAGAAACCAGCTAGCAATGACTGTTTTGTTGTTTGTTTGTTTGTTTGTTCCTTTAAAGGAGTCATTTTAGGCATGGAACTATTTCTTACCTGGCCAAAACCATTTTTTTACACACTTTTGAACAAAACTCCACACAGGACTTGATTTAAAAGTGACTGGTACTCACTGAAAACTTCTCATATAGCTGGTAGGTGAGCAGAGGGTTGGGGAGCTCTCGGAAATACAGCTTGCAGAGGGAGCCCACGGAATGGATGTCCTGGACGTAGGGTTCTTTTGTCAAGTCGGGGACATGTTCAGAGTCAAACTCATGGCTAACAAAGACAGCAGAGCGACAAAACTATTTTATTAAAGGCAAAGCAAGAATGTTTGGAAAAGCACAGACCCAAATATAAAACACAGACAAATAAATATAAATGGATGGACAAATGTGAATTGATATTTTTATCTCAGGGAATTAATGGGTTTTTTTTCCCCAGCAGTTTGATCATATGTGTTTGATCATATGTGTTTTTCTATGTGAAAATTAAGGGCGTAGCTTTAATATTAAAATGGACAACAATCACATAAGAACCGACCCAGAGATAAGGAGCCATGGGTCAGACTGTTGGACCTCAGAGGGAGGGTGGGAATAAAAGGGAGAGATCAACCAAAAGACTTATGTACATTCACATGAGCCTAACCAGTAGTCAAGGACAATAGGGGAGTGGGGGCATGAGTGGGGGGGATTAGAATAGGGGGTTGAGGACAAATATGTGATACTTTAATCAATAAAAAAAATTAATTTTAAAAAAGATGGACAACAATCTCTGAAATGCATATGAATGAGCAGCTCTTAATACACAGATCTAAAAACAGGACTCCGTTCCTCATAGTTTGAATATGTGTTATTTCAGCAATTTTGGAGACTAGGATTGAGTGGCAGCTGGTCTGTGAGTGAATAGCCATGCCCGGAAACTGCTCAGCTATAGGAAGTATGGCCCAGGGGTGGTTTATTAAAGACGGATAAGGAAGCCAGAGACAATATCCACCAATCCCCAGCCACCACCACATGGCAACAGACGGTAAAATCTGTAGCGCTGATTTTATGGAATAAAGGTTGCATTCAGAAAGCCAGGGACGGTTACGCTCAATCTCCAGGAGGTTAATTAATATTAATCTACAGGCACGAGACCACTCATCAACCCAAAGGATTAGTGTTTGTGGACTCATTAGTGAATGTGAGGTTTGCTGCAGATGAAAGTAAAGACTGAAGCTGTCCTTCGTACCAGAGTCAGGTGAAGTACTTTCCAATACGTATTCCTGAAAATAGAGGTGAGCTCTGTGGTCAATTAGGATGTTAAAACCTAATTGTACAGTAAACGGCAATTTCCATGCACCACCGTGAAAATTAAAGAAAAATAACACATTAATAATAGCCCAGAAGCGAAGAGATGGAGTAAAAATAAAATCTCGATTGCTGGTATAAAGGACACCGTGATCTTTGTCTGGGGAGATGATGAGAGGATGTGAAATACATAACACGTGCCTATTTGAGCATAGAATACAAAACAGGTATCCAAGGAGATTAAAAAGTTTCCCTCGACAATTTTAATTAGGAATGAAAGACTGATTCTATTAATGCTATTAATTCTATTCAGATAACGTAAACTTCATCTGTCATGGTTGTCATGGGTTCAAATTCAATGGCTAAAGTCATCAACTATTGTAAAGAGAAAACATACAAGGACTGACAAGGGGAAGGGGACGTGGTGTTCTGATACTGTAAATGGATATAGGAAAATATACACACACAACAGTATGTGTATTATTGCCTATTTTTTTCTAAGCTATCTTACTGAATGACGGCTATCCATGGAAGAGACTTAATTCTGAACTAATTTCATTTGAATGAATGGCAATAGGAAGGAGAAAGGAGATGCCACAGGAGGTCTTACCGAAGCCTCTGGATATTGGAGGCAACGCCAGAGAGGCGATATATCCCGTCCACAATGCCATATCTCTCGATGAATGCCGTGCAGCTCTGAAGAACCTGGGGGACTGGAGAGAAATTGGAAAGGCGCCGGTTAGATTGGGAGGGCTCCCCGGAGAGTCACCAGGAAATGAGGAGATCTTAGTTCTCATCAGCAAAATAAAATTTGTGAGTTAAAGTGATGGAAGTGGAATTTTAATCTACTTCAAAAAAATGAATAGGGCATGTTAACTTAATCTCACGTCTCAACAAATAATTGCCATTTTTCACTTTTAAGAGAGTTTATTTTATCTTTTCATAGTTCGTGCTCCTTCTAATTTTATCTAACAAACAAAACACCAACATAATGCAAAGGTCGAGGCAACTTCAGGAAGATAAGACCTTAATTTCCTGCCTATCTTTACATTATAAGTTCTGACCTTTTGACTTAATATTATCAGCTCCTTAGAAAGGGCACCCCAGCAATACTAAGTTGAAAGAAAAGATGGGGACTGTCTGGTTACTTCAGTGAATATCTGACACCAATGGCCAACTATTCGGGGCCGACACTCTTACAAAGGACGTTCAAACCATATGATAAAAGTTTTTTTACATAACCATTCAAAAATGTACCACAGCTGAAACTTTAACTTTGTTTTGCAATACAGACTGGTAAATTCTTTCATTTGATGGTATTAGTTCAAATCCCCGAAAAGAAGTGCTTGGACGAACACTATTTGCAAAGAACGTTGCTAAGGGTTCTGAAATGACATGTAATGGAATCAGTTTTACCACAGGCTGATTGGTCCAAACAAGAGTTCCTACACCGCATCACACCCACATGATAACAAAATGCTGCTGAAAGAAGTGATGCTAATCCAGGACCTGCCGCCCATGTATAACTGCAGACTTTTCCTGGGTTTTTCTGTCTTCTGTTGTCCTTCCCGCATTCTACCTTTTAGATTGTCAGATCCTGTAACTTACATTTCAAGCAAGCTCCTTAGCTTTAAATGAGTTTTTAAGCAGCTGTATTATTGAGTATGTAATATGTGCCAGGCTAGGTGCTCTATAATGGACACCCTCACTTAATTCTCATGGAAACCCTATGAAAAAGTCGTTTCATCTCGGGATGGCAGCTCCCAGGCCAGCAGCATCTGTGAGGCATTATTAGAAAGTGCATCATCGTGAATTTTTGTTGGGAAAATATAATTAACTAAGGAATTAATTTCAGAGGTTTTTTGGACCTTATTTGTTTGTTTGTTTTTTTACCCCAGTGAGCTCTGATTACAAAACCCCTGGTTGTTTTTGTTTGTTTGTTTTGTTTTGTTTTGTTTTTGGTTTTTTTTTAATCTATTGTAAAAAATAGCTGGGGAAAAACTCGAACACAGAAATAAGTTCAGACTACAAAGTTTCCTCACCTTGAGTTTTAAAATAGATTTTATATTTTGTGCCAAATATCATTTTACCGAGTTTCCTAGAGTTCTTGCTTTTTTGTTTAACAAAATCTCACTTGCAATTTCACTGTAAGAAAATTCAGTTTCACATATGTTCAACAAAATAAAACAAGTCCTATACGAAACCGATGACATTTGAAAACTCTGTTCCACTAAAAGAGATCTTATCATAGTTAGGGAATGAAGGAACCTATAGTTATCAAACCTGCTTGTTGACTTCTTAAATCTTGGAAACCATCCTCTCCTATTGTACTTATTAAGAATGAAAACGCACCAGAAACTTCTAAGTACAACTAAAATGTGCTGAATCGATGTGTGAAAGCTAATGAGCAGAGCAAACTGGAAAACACTCCCTCATATGAATGATCGCATTCAAGCAAGCTTGAACGAAAAGAAATACAAAAAAGAAAAAAAACCAAAAAAATCTGACTCTATCACTCAGGGTGCCCAAGTAAATGACAAATTAGTTTGATCTATCCCAAAAAGGTGCCATATGGGGAGATTTTTTTGAAAAACCGGTTCTGTGAGTAATTGTGCTATAACCTTTAATTAACTCAATTATAAGCATTATGGTTTGTGGGAGCTGAAATTGTAAGATCTTCTTGAGTGAATTCTGACACCGGGGATCACAAATAAAAAGAATTCTTAAAACGCCTTGTCAGGCTCCTACACGAATTCTTACAACACCCTGCTACAGAAGAAACAGGTCAGGCTTTTCTCCTGATCCCACAGGGAGGTGCTCAAAAGTTCACAAAGTGTTAACAGGATAAGCTTTCTATAAAGTCGATTATTCACTAGGAATACAATCCCTAGAATGAGTCACGTAGCAAAACATTATACTGATATGGGCTTCCTTCTGGTGCATAATCTATTTTATATATTTATATTTTATATATTTTAAAGTCCCAACTAACAGAGTAATCATGGGAAGAATGATCATACACATTATATACCTATCCATGTTTATATCTCCTTTCTCCTCACAATTACATATGTAAAATATGGACATATCATTCTTCCTCCTCAGGGATATTCTGTTTTTATTTAGACTTTTAAATATCCTATCCCGTTTAATAAAAAGGCTAATATGCAAATTGATAGAATGGCCACTATGACGCGCACTGACCACTAGGGGGAAGACGCTCAATGCAGGAGCTGCCCTGTGGTCGTCAGTGAACTCCCACAGGGGGAGCACCACTCACCCAGAAGCTGGGCTCATGGTTGGTGAGCGTAGCAGCAATGGGGGGAGCCTCTCTCACTTCCACAGCAGCGCTAAGGGTGTCCGACTGCCAGCTTAGGCCCACTTCCCATGGGGAGCGGGCCTAAGCCATCAGTTGGACACCCCCCAAGAGCTCCCAGACTATGAGAGAGTGCAGGCCTTGCCGAGTACACAAGCTGCCGAAATTAAAACAGAAATTACTTACCTAATCTATTGCACAATTGGTTATAGAAAATCAATATGCAGCGGTTAGAAACGAGAGTCATAAGAATGGGAAATGTATGTTTACCTTCAAAACCGGAATTGAGAAGGTGCTCCCCCAGGTCACAACCAAACACCCTCTCTTTCAAGATCCCCCGCTGCTTCAGCTTCTGTTTTGTTGGTCGAGACTTCATGAATGTGCGTAAGAAAGTGATGAGCTTGCCGTGCTTTTTAGATACTGTAAAACAGGGAGAAGGGAAAAACATCTGAGCTGTGGCAAGAGGTGACATTTTTTACATAGTACGAAAAGCAATGGAGGTCTTGACAGGTGGACCGCAACATCGTGCATTAAAAGTACACTTTATAGTCTGTAGAAATTTTTAGCAGTTTAGGGGACAGTTATGTACAATATAAAGAACATCACAATTTTGCCCTTTCTTCTCACCAGCCTGTGATTTTACTTGATGGGAATGTGAGCAACTATAAGTCTTGTAACCCACGACTTCTAAATCAAATGGTAAGCCAGCCATTTCCCCAATGCATACCTACGGACACCCCCGAATTATGACCGATATCTGAGCTTCACTCTAATACACATGTGTCAAACACAAGGCCCGCGGGCCAAATCCTTCCCGCCAGGCCTTGCAATGTGGCCCGCACCGCGCTGTCATCACTGCACTCCGCTGCGTTTCCATCACAATGACAGTTTATGACTGTTCAGTAAACCATTCGGCCCGCGATTTAGGCTGGATTTTAGATTTTGGCCCCTTCTCTGATTGAGTTCGACACCCCTACTATATCACTTTGGAGATCTTCATAATAACTGAACCTGAAAACGTTGTGAATGTGGTTTTACTTTCTAGTCAACTTCTAAAATATTTTACTTGGTGATTAGGAATGTTCATGGCGTTTATAATCTGGAAAGTAAAACAAAAACAAAACAACTCCCTCTTTTTCATCTTATGAAGAGGACAATCCCATGAGGATACAGAACATACTTGTCAAACTAACTGCTACATAAACACAAAGCACACACCCATAAAAAACAAAACAACAACAACAAAAAAAACATTAGCTCTTCCATTAACATTCATCTTCTAGGGTATGCTAAATATAACCTTAAGTCCTCTATAGATGAAGGCAAGAGATAAGTAAACAATATTTCCACTGGTTGATACATGAGAAAGACAACAGTGACAAAACTGAATGCAAACAAATCTCTAAATACAGCTTACAGGGTAAATTCCTCTAAAATTCCACACACAACAAATATAAGCTCAGCTGGACAGAAGACTGTGTTGCCCCTGAAGACCTGCCCATGGGACATGGACATGGACTTGGAAGTCAGTGGTACTGATTATCTAACCCTGTGTAAACTTAGGCTAGTGTGTGTGTGTGTGTGTGTGTGTGTGTGTGTGTCTTTATTTTCACAGAAGAGTTTAAAAACTAAACTAAAATAAAAATAACGATTTTATAGAAAACGAGTTAGTAAAATTATCGTTAGAGGAACAGAAATCTGGAATGCCGTCAATAATCTCATGAGACTTCCCTGAAGGAGACAGCGTGGGAGTTGTGTTAGACAGCCAAGTGCTTATAAAACATCTCAACAGAGGAGACTGCACTGCAGCCACGGGTCTTAAGGTCAAAGTCTACCAAGTACGCTGGATTAGAGACATGAAAATGATAACGCCACTTCCACAGAAAAAGTACCTCAACAATAAAACACAATCACTCCGACTTCTATTCCATTTTCCTGTTCTAGAGTGAAAATGGGACACATGCCCCAATGTAGCTGCCTCCATATTAGATATGACAGATTTCACACCCGCCATCTCTCTTCAAACCTGAGCTGAACCCAACCAAACCGGTCTTTCCAGTGGCTGAGAGCTTTAACAGTATGACCACAGTATCTCCAACACAAATCTTTATGACACCAATATCCAGTTTACAGAGCTACCCTCACAGCAGCTCCGTGAGCCCCAGTGAACTTTGACATGGAGAAATGGGGCACTGGGTGTCTTAAATGACCCAAGGAAGACATTTCTCTAGCAAAGCCCCAAATTTTTTTCTTTCTTATAATATTTCACCTAATCTGGAGTTCTCTAAATCCGGTCTCAGAAACCTCCTAGACTGTTTTAAACTAATTTCTCAGTACATTAAAGAAAGATGTTTGGGCCAAAACCGTTTTGGTTCAGTGGAAAGAGCATCGGGCCTGCCGACTGCAAGGTCCCGGGTTCGATTCCGGTCAAGGGCACATCCCCAGTGGTGGTGGTGGGGAGGGGGGGTGTACAAGAGGCAGCTGATTGATGATCTCTCTCATCGATGTTTCTAACTCTCTATCCCTCTCTCTTCTTCTCTGTAAAAAAATCAATAAAATATATTTTAAAAAAAGAAAGATTGATGATTGGTGCCTGTTGATGACCTCAGCAATGTGATTATTTGATTACATGCATCACATTCTAAGATCTGTAGCAAATTCAGAGTCAAGCTGACAGGCAGTGTCAAAAACATAAATTAGGCTTTCTAAGTCATCTTAGAAAGGGCTGGCATAAAAACTCAAGATAGACCTTTTAAAATGCTGCTGTTTTATTTATATTAAGTATATTAGGCTTAGCACTTTTTAAATTATGTATTTTTCCCCATGAAAACTTAAAATAGTAGTAAGGAGCCCTATTATAACTATTTTACACAACATACTTACACTATTTCCAGGACTTAGTGCATAAGTGTACTATCTTCTTTAATTGTAAAAGCCATTTGCAGCTGTTGTTCAAGCCATACAATACGGCTACTGTTCGTTTCACTGATTTATTTGCTAGGAAGACCTTGGTGAACAATATAATGGTCATTTCTAATATTATTTCTATACTAGAGGCTGGGTGCCTCAGCTCAGCCTGCCCCCTCTCTCATAGTCTGGGAGCCCTCAGGGGCAGAAGGTGACCCAGGTGATCAGGGTAAGGTGACGGCCCCATCACACCTCTGCTGCTGCCACTGCCGGCAGTGCAAGCCTTGGCTGACCCTGGGCGGCTGGGCAGCCACCACACGAGTCTTGCCTGCACCTCAGCCAACCCTGCTTGCCTGAGCCTCAGTCAGTGGGGGATGCAAGAGGACTCGAGGCCCCACTGAGCTGAGGGGACTCTGGTGGCAGGCATGCAGAGCGGCCGTTCCCCTTCCCCCCATTGTGTGCGCCACAGTCTTGTGATGGTGTGATGGCCAATTTGCATATTACCTCTTTATTATATAGGATAGATGCGATATATTTTATAGAGGTTAATTTGTGAACTAGGTTTAAGAATTCACTCTAGGAAAAGGGGGGAAAAAAGTAAATATTATCTATGTAGGTTCTGACTTTAGAAAACTTGCATCCCACCTGGGTGATGCTCAAATCCCCAGAACCCTCCTGCCTCTCGGAGAGCTGCTGCGTGTGGTCTCTGTTTCAGAGCAGGAATGCAGTAGCTTCAGGCTTGGATGCCATCTCTCCACACCTCCTCAAGATGTCCAAAAAAATCTTTAGGAACATTTGAGTGTTAAATCTTGATATGCGGCTTTAGTTATTGTGGAAGAAAGTACATAATTGTTTTTATCACTGTTTTATAAGCAGCTTTGGAGGAGAAGAGACGTCCATTCTCCCAGTGCATAACAGCTGCACGCGACTATGGGGACTTGTCTCGGGGGCCAGCCCAGGGATGACGTCTGGAATGGGGACGGCTGTAACAGCTCTGCTATCTGCACATTCCATCCTCAGAGGGAGGACACCAGGTATTTGAGAAATGTCATGAACACCCAATGCTAAACTAAAAATAACATGGACAGTAATGGCTCTTGGCTCCTGGTTGAAAAACCAGGAAGCTACTAACAATCACATTAATCAAATCGGCTTCCACTTACTCACAAGAGAGAAGAGGAGGTATTTTCAAAGCCCTTAAAAAACAAAACAAAAAACACACACATATATTTTTATTGATTTCAGAGAGGAAAGGAAAGGGAGAGGGAGATAGAAACATCAATGATGAGAGACAATAATTGATTGGCTGCCTCCTTGCAGGTCCTACACTGGGCAAGAATCGAACTGTGACCTCCTGGTTCATAGTTCTACCTACACTCGACCACTGAGCCACACCAGCTGGGCTGAAGCCTTTGCTAAGGTATGACAGCAGGGATCCACAATACAAATCTGTAGTAAGTTTTAGAGAAGATCTTTCAGACGCAGAGATAAGAACCATTCACCACGAAAAAGAGAAACAGAACGGGAGCAACTAATTGCTTCTTTAGATCGGTGGTCGGCAACTCATGAGTCAACAGAGCCGCAGTTTGCAGACCACTGCTTTAGATTATCTGCCACCACTCCTATGTGGCCAGACACGCTGATGGCTAACTAAAATATTTGGGTATTGGAATGAAAATGGATCTTTCTTCCCCTCACTTAAGGATGAAACGAAAGCATATCATGCTGCAGCTCTCCCTAGAGGACACAGAGTGATACATGAGAGAGGACATGCTATGTTAGACCTTAGGAGTCCCTGTTCCCTGGGCAAACCGGTCACAGGTTAAAACACCCTTGTTATTTACAGAATACATTTGCTTTCAAGGCGCTACGCATTTCCGTAATAAATATCAAAGAAGGTTCAGCTGAAACCGGTTTGGCTCAGTGGATAGAGCGTCAGCCTGTGGATTGAAAGGTCCCAGGTTCGATTCCAGTCAAGGGCATGTACCTTGGTTGCAGGCACATCCCCAGTAGCAAGTGTGCAAGAGGCAACTGATCGATGATTCTCTCTCATCGACGTTTCTAACTCTCTATCCCTCTCTCTTCCTCTCTGTAAAAATCAATAAAAATATATTTTAAAAAAAAAGAAAAGAAGAAGAAGATTCAGAGTTAGCTTGAGTGCTTTTTTAGGGAGATGTAAAGAAGCTATGCATTTTCTTTGGTAAAACTGATATTGATTTTTATTTTAAACATTTAAATAATAAGGGGTTGGTGTTGTTCCTTAACTTTATAAAAAGAGCAAATTAAAAAAAATTTGACGTGGTGACTGTACCACCTCAGTTATATAAGACTGACTAAATAGCACTTCTAAATGCAGAACAAAGATTTGCATTTGAGCAGAGGCGAGTGGGAAGAGACAAGATGTGGGTATGAATCCCGACACTCAGATCCCAGCACAAGAAGGATGAATATGATGTAGGCTCTGAAAGTAACTCTGCCAAGGATTTTTAAATAATCCGGTTCCTATTTTTCTA